GTCAGCTGTAGGTCTAGCACTACCGGTTCTTCTCTGTGTAGCTCTTCTCAGCATGAGTATGGATGTGCTGGAAGAGATGGCCCTGGAGCCTTCTGTGATGAAGCGGTGGCCGTGCTTGCTGGCCTGCAGCACCAGAGCTGACTTTCCTCCTAAAAGTGCCAAACGTAGCAGAGATTAATTTGGAAATAGCACTGGATAAAATATTTAATGATGTAACAACACTGACTAAAGGGGAGAAGAGAAATAATCCATGGTATCCAAGAATAATTGATGGAAATAGGGAAGTGTTTTTTCTGAGCTAAAATCTACCCTTAGGAATGCAGCTATGTACTGTGTATATTATATTGCAACCATGCCTAAAAACTAAGCATCAAAGCAAGTAAGATTGAAGAGACTGAAGTAATTTAACAAGGGAAGTGTTTGGTGTTGTGCAAATGATCCCATTCTTCACGCTCTACAGAGTCTCTGCTTTGCCACTGGAGGTTTTACAAAACATTAATTCCCTCCTGACAGCCATTTAGAACCTGCTTTTTCAAACGACGTTTACAGTGCACAGAGAGCTTAGGATTCAGGATGTGTCCCTGAAGCTTTGCTTAAAATCCCTTGCTCCCTGCAAAGCAGACACAATTCGCAGTCACTGCTGCTGATGGCAGTGAGACAAAGCAAAGGCAGCTCTGTCCCTGCTCTCCTCCCCTCTTCCCTCTCCCACCATATGGCTTCCCTCAAACTGTAATGTGTTCCATTGCATTTAGGCTCTGCATGGAGCTGAAGCCAGGAATGTTTTTCTCTCCAAATATAGTCAGACCGATGATTCTGGTCTGTACTCCAAACCAAATATCCGGACTTGAGAACCTAAAGCTTCCAATAGTCTTCAGAGTTTTGAAGTCACAACATTCAACACTCCTCTGTGCTTGTACAAAAGCAGCCCTTTCAGGGGCTCTGGCTGCCTGATAAAATGTAAAGAATATTTTAATCTATTGGAAGAGCCAGAACTAAAACTTTACAGTCTGACTACCCTCTTGCCCTTGGCACTGTGCAACACGAGGTCCCAGGAATGAGTCTTAGGAGCTGTCTGAAACATCTGAAAAAGGCTTAAATTCTGGCAAGCACTATGAACCTGAGGCCAGAGGGCTGCATCTGAGAGGCCTTTGAGCACAAGTATCTTTTGGGAAAGCCATGACATTCTTAAATCTGGGCACATAGGAAAAAACATTGATGGATATGCACTCTGGCCTTAATCCTTAAAACAGCTATGAAAGAGAGTTGTGCTTGAAGTTTAACAGGCACCCTGTTAACAGACTGAGTAGATTACCTGAAACCTGAACTTCTTGCTCTCTGCCAGCAGCCACAGCTGAGGATTCCAGGCAGCACTGGGGCACCCAGCAATGCACCTGAACGAAGCCCTCGGAGCAGAAGCGGCGTCAGGACGCACACGGTTAAGTTCATGCAGCTCTGTTGCCTCCACAAGCCCATCTGTAGATCCTGACTGCCCCAGCATAAGAGCTTCCCTCATCCGACTCTGCAACAACAATGTGAAATTTGTCTTGGCCTCACTGCTGAGCTGGTTTCTGATGAAATATTTGGCTTATTTTTTGAAGGTTTCAAAAGCGTTCTGCAGCCAATGGCTTAGTGAAGTGGCACACGCAGGTATTGAATTTTTATGTGGATGGGCACAGTGCACTGTCCTTGGATGGAGGAAAAAGGAACTACCTGCTTTCCAAGAACCCCGTCTGCCACTTCTCATCTATTGAGACATAAACTGCTTTCTATCTAGATGAAGCAGCAGGATGCTAAATGGTACAAAGGTCATAAATCGTCTCTGCAGCTAAAGATTTCCATTCATGTGGCACAAAAAGGAAAATGGCTAACACGCAAATACAGTCTCTTTCCCCAAACATAATACTGTAGCTCCTGGAAAACAGCCTGGCTCTGCTAAACTTCAGCAGCTGCATGAATAATTATTCAGAAACCACGAGGTCCTGAAGGATGCACCTTCAGCAAAGCTCTACTTGCTGATTTTTGATGTTGGGAGGGAACTGAGATCTGAGCAGAGATGAGTATTTTACAAAACCTTTTGCTTCCTTTATGCTGAGATAAAGGAAACTCTCACACTCTTTGGACTATGTGGTTATGTGAGTTCTCAATTCATGTTTTAAATTTGGGTCTCTATAGTCACATTCAGAAACCTTAAGGCACCAGTTGGGTGCTTGGAAGACCTTTAGGTTCCTGCTCTGCTAGATTTCATGCCTGATCTCCAGCAAATCCTTCATCCTACACAGTGTTATGTGTCTCAGCCTGTAAAATGCAGATAATAGCACTGCTCCACCTTGGAGGCTGACGTGAGGATAAAGGCTCTGAGAGGCTGTAGGATGCTCAGAGAGGAGAGGGTGTCTGTACGAGTGCACAGGATAACAGTTAATATCTTTTTCAAGTGCTGGTAGTGCTTAGAAGCCCTCTGTTATGCAGTTGCACAGCTGAAAGCTAATGTTTTTCCAGCAGTGCATTTGCTAGCAGGTTTTTCCTTTTGTGCTGGTGCTACTTTAGTGGAAAACTAAACTGGTGGAAACTTGGCCAATGTTTTCCATCCCCAATCCAAAGCAGGTTTTTATTTCAAGATGGTCTTTCTGCAAATGCGCTCTTTTCTACAGACTCTGACAGCAACTTTTTCAAGGGTCTTAAGGCACTGCTAAGTGTAATAATGTGTTGTTGCTTGGTTCTCGTTTCCTACCATGGTACACAGCTTCCACCACAAATGGAGATAGTTTTGCAATAGTCTCTGGGGCCTGAACAAAGCAGTTGCTTAGAGTGCCTGGGTCTCATGTTTCATTTACCAGCTGTTTCTGGGGAAAGAGGCCTGTCCTTAGAAAGCTGCTAACATGTGAAATGAGCTTCTACCTCAAAGCACTGGAGCTGGCTGCTTTGGTCTGCAGGAGTTAGAGCCTGGTCTCCTCGCTTCCTCTCCTCTTCCTCCTAGTTCCAGTTTCCCTTTGTAATTCTTCCCATAGCTTCCTTCCACGTTACTCTCTATTCTGCTTCCTCTCGCATCACTGAAGGATTTCTGCAGAGCTTGGTCCCATCTCTGTAGGAAGCACGTTGTTTCTGCTAGGGGAGCTCGGTGAAAACTGAAAAAGAAAAATGTGAAATTACATGCACGCTCTTCGGTCATTTTTATTTTCAGCTGTCTAAAAACTGCAGGCAAGCTTTAGTCTGAAGTGCAGAAAACTTCCGAAGAGTCATAAACTTCCTTGTGAACTAGGAAAAAATATTGATTCAATATCTTGTTATTTGAAGTGCAAGAAGTTTCCAATTTTCAAAAGCTTCAAATATCTATTAGGAATGTTTCATACTAACTGGTAACAGAGCTAACCCCTCTTTGTTATTTGCTTGTGAACTTAGAGGATTGCACAAAGTTCTTCTTTTTTCTCTGTCTATTGAGCCATTTAGCTTAGGGCACCATAGCTCAACAGCACTGGAATTCTCTGCAGCCAGACAGAAAATTCCAGCCACTTCTGAAGACCTTAGATTTTTTTGTGCAAGCTTTCTTAAAAAGCCCCGAATCACCTGAAATCCCCACGTGGAGGTGTCTAATTGTTTAAGCTGAGTTGGCCAGTTTCTTTCTTGAAACCAATCAGTTAAAGCTGAGGTACCCAAAATGGGCATGATTCTGAAAATACTTGTTCTTCTTTCTCAGCATGATCACCCTGTACTGGGTGGCCCTCAATTCCATGGAATTTGCCGGAGTTGCTTGCAAAGTTCCATGGAGGAGGAGCTGATTTTTAGTTTTATCTAAGCTGTGAATTCCTTGACCAAAATCCCCCGAACAGAGAAGTCCTGCCTGCCCCAGCCAGCCTCTCATCTTTCACTCTGCTCCTTGAAGACAGCCCCTGACAAATGACAGCTCTGCAAGCACCAAGCATCCCTACCCGACGCGTTCCAAGGGCATGATGCTGGCTTCTGGATTCCTTTTTCACCCCCCTCCTTCAACTTTTTCATTATATAAAGCTGACAACTGCAGATTTGTTCTCTGTTGATATATGGCCAGTTAAAGAAAGGAGTTCACGTCCATCCCAGCTTGTTTCACTTTGCTGTTTTTTTTTTTTTTTTTCTCTGCTCTAGTAATACGATACCACTTGGCGGAGGTTAAGAGAATCTTTGGCACATTGGAAAGAGGCTTAATGTAAAGTCTACATTTTTTTTTAAAGAGCTTTTTGAAACACCAGCATTTCGGCACAACTTTGACAGTAACTGCAGGACTCCTCACAAATGCTCCAGATGCAACTGTGAGCAAAAGGATTACCAATGTGTTCAGTGAAGTGAATGTCTCAGCATCTCTCTCTAAAAAGCATTAAGGAACGAAATGGATCCAGCAGAACAATTTTCTGCAAGCAGAAAGAAGAGCTTCCCCTCAGCTGACAAGAAGAAAGACAGTGGTTATAGATCTCTTATGGGATTTTTATGCATATTCCCTGTGGTGGCTTTGTTGGCTTTTGTGGGAGACCCAGCTGGAGCTGCAGCTCGGAAAAGCCAGGTAGGGGAAGGATCTAATTCTCAGACACCTGGAAGGGGAGTATCAAGTGTGTGTGGAAGTTTTCTAAAAGGCTGCTGAATTCGGGGAGGGATCTAAATGATTTGAAAATAACTGTTAAGGCAACAAGATCTATTTGTTTCCCTTTTTGCAAGGGTCCCAAAAGGAAATGAAGTGTCTAGCTAGACCCAGGTCAATAAAAATGAGCCTGTATCTTGCTGACAACTAAATGCTGAAGGTACAGAAGCTCTGGAGCGTTGTGCCTCAGAGCAGCCCTCCCGAGCTCCTCTGCTTTCCCAGCCTGCCGTGATGTGGCAGGAACCGTTCGGAGCTCCTCGGCAGCGGGGCTGCCCTCGGGACTCCAGGGTCTCCAGGATCCGGGTGCCAGATCCCAAATGCCAGTTAATGCAGGACCTGCAGAAGCTACGAGGCGATGTTAGAGCTAGTTCAAGGTCCATTCATTAGCAAGATATACTGGTGCTACTTGCTGTTTAGAGAGAGATGGGACTCCCAGAAACTGATCTTAATTCTACTGCTATGTTAACTGCAGAAATATAATCTTCTCTAAAACCTTGCATCCTTTCCTGTTGTTCGTGGTTATGATGATCCCTGTCAATAGCATCTTTTGCTCAGGGCTGTTATTAAATTGTCCTAAGTCACAGAATGTCCCTCTCCTCATACACCCCAGGCTTGGTGAACATTCAAGACCCTAACCAAGCTCAATGGGCATCCTCCTGGAAGGGGCTGGCAACTTCTCCAGTTCTTAAATAGTCCCGCAGTCTTGGCAATTGGCCCTTTAGCATCTAGACAAATGCTTTAATCCAAATTATACTGTATATTTTTTACCTAGATCACTCTCATTTCACTCAGAGCCTTTCTGGCTGTTGTTTTCTGGCTTTTAGTACCTTCTTGCCATTGGCTTTGTGTGAGAGCAGGGACAGGCTGTTTTGCCTCTCAGAGCCTCAGCTCTTCCGTAAATAAAATGGAGAGAGACTTGTCCTCTGTAGACTAGACTGTTAACTCATTGTGGTGCAGTTTTAGGAACATTACCACTACATTTATCACTTCTTACAGGTCTTTTGCCTCTGGGGCAAAGTTTACACCAAGATGTTCAATGTCCTGGTCCCGACAAGGTGGCGCAGAGCAGACAGACGCAGAGGACCACGATGGGTGTCCAGTTTTTATCTCCACTCCTCAGGGTTAAACTGTTTTTGTAGTTTGAGTCAGGCTTGTTGCTGAATTTATGTCTTATGACTGCTTTAAATGCACTCCTGGGTTTCCAGTTTACTCTGAAGACATTTTGGATCCAGGATCCAGCTTTAAAAGGAGCTGTCAGCACAAAGAGATGCCTGTTTGACTCGTGTGTCCAGTGTTTCTTTTTTTTTCCTGTGGAGAGGCTGGAGAGCAAGAGCAAAGTGAAAAGGAAATGAGAACTTTCCAGGAAAAACTGCAGCACTTGCTGTAGCCATAAGCCACAGTTTTTTTTCTTTTTAAAACAATGTTCAAACTTTTAATTTCTTCCATCTCTTTTAACCTCTTTTTTGTCTTTTAAGGAAGATGCTGCATCACCTGCTCTTCATGGAGTGAGCGCTTCACACGGTCCAGCTTTCCCACCCTGGCCTCCAACACGGAGAAAACGATACACCATCACCCCATCATGGAGTGAGCGCTTCACACGGTCCACCTTGGCCTCCAACGCGGAGAAAACGATACACCATCACCCCGGGACACCTCAAATGGGACCACTTCAACCTCACATACAAGTATGGACATGCCTTAGCCTAAGAGCTGACTCTAAGTGACTTTTCAAGGTGTTTTTTTTTTCTATCAAACCTTTGATACCCTTCAGAGCCCTCTTTCTAAAGCTTTTCGGAGACAATTCAGTTTTTGCACGCTGAAGTATATTACACATATTGCATATATCCTGAGTGATGCGAGTAGGAATTGCCTAGTCTGCTGCTTGAGAAATGATGCTGTGCAACAGTGGGAAGAAGTTGGGGAAAAAATGTTTTGCAAGAGAACTGAGCCGAAAATTATGTGTTTGAGGTCTTGCCAGCCATGCTTGGGGAGGGAACAGTATCTTGCTAAAGCTGTTCTGTGTCCTTACAGAATCCTGTCCTTCCCGAGAAACCTCATAAACGCCAGTGAGACACGCAGGGGCCTAGCAGCTGCCTTCCGCATGTGGAGCGAAGTGTCCCCGTTCAGCTTCAGGGAAGTGCCCCGCCACGCCGACAGCGACCTGAAGATAGGTGAGCGCGCGGGAGGCTGCTCCGTGCGCCAGCTCCCAAGGGACTGATGGGTTCAAGATCTCAGAGGCCCGAGATATTCAGAGCAGCTGATAAGAGTCCAACTTGGTCCCTGTTGAAACAGCACCTTCCCTCTCCTTCTGCCCTGCACTGTGCTGCAGACTCACTGACCACTTCATGATTCTCCCAGGCCTCAGGAAACATTAATGCTGAGGTGTTATCTGTTCAGATCCAACCCCAGATGGAAATTCTTCTCGTGATTTATGGGCTGTGAGAAATAACTACTTGCTGTGCAGCTTGCAGCGATAGCGAGACAACCAGCAGATTTTTCCCTTCTTTCGCAACAGGCTCCTCGTGCTCCTCTTGCACGATGCCTCTCCCAAGCACGGGATGTGCCTTCCCCGGGCTTGGCAGCCACGTGTGAGCACCAGGTAGCCTCTGTGCCCCCCGGAACGAGTGTGCTGTGGCTGGCCGG